AAATTGAATAATTCTTATGGGTAAATATGTATATTTTTTCTATTGAAATAATTTACTGGCAACTTTGACTAGGTGATATGATCATACATAGAATAAGTGAGTGACTTAATAAACTAAAAATGCAGTTTGTTTAATGAGGATGTTAATTAATTACAATTTAGAAATTATAATAATAATAAAATAAGAATACAAAATAACAAATACACATTATAATAAAAACAAGTAACGGTTGTGACGAATCTTTTTTACACTGCACCAAAACAAGCACTAAATTGATGTTGTCGTTATATTTTGATCATAATAGAAATATAGCAGCCTATTAATGACCGATTTTGTAGTTTTATTGTATTATAGTTATTCGATAAGTATGTATTTAATAGGTCTATCTATGTCATGGGCAGTGTTTTTAAGGCTAAATTTAGCCTTTTTTATACCATCCACCACCATCAGTGGTGATAGAGGGTATATATAAGTTTATCATTTCGTGTGTAACACCGAGAAATATTCATCTGAGACCCAACAAAGTATATATATTCCGGGTCCTTATCAAATTCTGTGTCGATTTAGCTATGTCCGTCCGTCTGTCTAAGCAAAGGAAATCAACAAAGTTTTCCGAAAATATTCATTATTGGCCTGAGCAGTTTGGTATTGAAAATCAGCAAAATCGGTTCACAACGTAAAAAGATATGAGTAAAAATTTTAGACTACCTCGAAAAAAAAAAACATTTTCTCAGAAACTACCGAAGATTATTCAATGAATTCTGCCACACGTTATTTACTTTGCCCAGGGATTATTATGTTCAAACTCAAAACATTAGGTCCAAGATTTCCCATAGCCCCCATACAGAGGTCCATATTCTCGAAAATGGGTTTATCTTTGATTTTTGACGAAGTTATTAATAATATTAATATCGGTATTACGGTATTATCATATTACCAACGTAAATCTGTATCGGTCCATAAATGGTAATAGCTCCCATATAAGGTCCACTTCCGAAAATCACTTAAATGTAAATAACTAATTAAGAAATAAAAATATTAGAATAATATTCGACATAAATATGTTCTCTGTAGGCCTATTGCCGATAACCACGAAAATTCACATATTTCATTACTAATGTGTTTAAAGTACATATAAAAAAGCCTGCGAATTTTTAATTAACTAATTAAGAAATAAATATATTGGAATAATATTCGACATAAATATGTTTTGTGTATACATATATGACTCTACCAATTTTTTTTCGGATCGGTCATTAATTGGTCATATCTACCATATAATGGCCATCGTAAGTGGATATATATTTCATTACTGAATGAAGATATCGGTATAAATTTCGTCATGAATGTGTTTAAAGTAGATATGAACCATCCTGAGAAATATTTTCCGGATCAGTCCCTAATTGGTCATAGCTCACGTGAAAGACCCACTTTCAAAAATCGAATATTTCATTGATAGATAAATAAAGATAACGGACTAAAATACCTCATAAATATGTTTTTGATATATACAAATCACTCCTAAATTTTTCAAAAAGCTTACAGGTGGAGGGTATTTAAGATTCGGCATATCCGAATATAGCACTCTCTTGTTATTTATCATTTACCCTCGAAATTTATGTTTTAGCTACTGACTTTTAACTGATTTCCGTTTACTTTAACTAATCAAATGAGCTACAAACTTATTTTAGGTTCTTATGTAGAAAATAAGACACATCAAAAAAAAAAAAAAAAAATAAAATAAAAAAAATCGTTAGTTTTTGACCGAACATATGATACTCTATGATACTCATATGATACTCTATTGATGGGGTCTAGGGACTAATATGGACTGATCCCCATAAAATTTGGTGATTTACTTATGTTTAAATTTATTATTGCTGATATTAGTATTTATAAGTCTTATAAGTGAATGAATATCCCAGAAATTTTCGGAAGTAGGTTTGTATAAGGGTTATGGTCAAATGAAGTCGGAATATTATCATCAGTGCTTATAAAAAACTATAAAAATAAATGATATATACGCCAAATTTCAAAATTATCTTGAACATGCGACTAATATCTTGTGCAAAAGCTTAGAAAGGATACGCAGCCAGTAAGCAGGACAAATGGACTAAATCGGCCCAGAAAAAGATTCTAAGCAGATGTAAATGACAAATATTTTTACTCTCCACTAAAGTGGTTTAGGTTATAAATAGAATCATTATATTAAATTCTGCGAAGACACCCAGCAAATAAACCACACAGATGGACTAAATAGGCTCAGGAAATTATTCAAAATCATTTGTTTATAATAATGAATGCCCGACTATTATTTTTTACATTGGTCGTGTGTTTGTAAAATATCGGAGTGCTTCGAAAAGTTTTGTTTTTTTATAATAATATATCAGCCTATTAATGGCAGATTTTGCAGTTTTATATATTTGATAGATCAAACTATGTTGTGGGTCTGTAAAATATCGGGGTGCCTGCGAAAGATTATTTCCACCGGTAGAAGCTGTATAATTTAAATTTTGTCGTAATATTCTCAAAAAATAAAAACGTTTCCCGGAATATAAGTAAAATAAGTGCTAATTATACAGTTATACACTGAAAAGAATTATAAGAAATAAATTCTGTATAGGTACTACTGTTCATGATAGGTCTATAGCTTAACCTTCACCTCTATAACAGCTCTTACAAAAAAAAAGTAAGTGTAAGAATAAAACGTTTAAAAATCAAGAAGGATTTTTATAATCTTTAGAATCAATGCGGTATTGGATTTGGTCTTTATTGCATATATATAATCTGGTTTAGCGATGTCCGTCTGTGTAATGCAGACGTCTGTTGAAAAAAAAATTCTGAATATTCTAAATATCTTCAGGAATCCTTATATGATTCTATCAGACATACTTTGAATTGAAGAATTTTACTATTGGAGGATTGGGGAAAATATAGACCAATCCTAATAAATGTTTGTGGATGGATTTAGTACGTTTACATACATTAATGCTAAATTTCATATCGACACTAGTCGTTTTAATTGTGCAAATTTAAGTCATTTTCTGAAGAACTTTGTTTAGTTGCAAGGGCCGATCATTACAAAATTCATCAGAGTCATTAAATTTAGTATAAAACTTAGTTGTGCCGCTTCTTGTCGAGATACGAGTATATTAAATATATTTATGAGCTCAGAAGCATGGGGACTAGGTGAAATAATTGGCCGATGTGTACGATTTTTAAAAGGCTTCAGAAGATCATATCAAATATAATTGAAATATGTGGAAAATTTCGACCTCACTAAAGTGGTGTAGGGTATATACATACAGTGGTGGAAAAAATAATAGAAACGACTTTATTTTGGGGTGAAAACTAAATTTTCGCAAAGGGTACCCGTTAAATAAAAGGTATTTAGGTCTACTTTTCTATGATAAATGGAGTTTGTAAGTTTTTTTGCTCCATCGTTTTTTATTGGAATTAAAAAAATTTGGCATTGGAAAAAATAATAGAAACGATTCATAGTATTACACTGGGGACATAAGCTGAGATTTATTAAACTACGTTTAGTACTTATTATTAAAAATTTTAATTATAAATGGAATTCTTAATATAAAAGTATACTTTTTACATTAATTTTTATATTAACATTTGATTTTGCTTGATTGACCATATGGATCCTGAAAGCTGAATCAGAGGCCCGACTTTCAAGTTTTCTTAAATAAGAATTTCAGATAGTGAAAGAAATTTCTTCTAATGGTTAAATTATCTAAAAAAAAAAGTTTTTGAGAAGATTTCGAGAAGAAAAAGTTTTGAACCCAGTTATAGATAAGGACAATCCACCGGTTTTTGGGCCAAATTTCGAGCAATATTTCACTATTTTTTAAATTGACCTGTTCTTGGTGGTTAAAAAGGGGCTTAAATGTCAAAGTATATTTATGGACTTGTGAAATAATGCTAAATTCAGTTAAATTTAAAACAAAAAGTTCACAAAACCTAAAAAATTTTTAAATTCAGTTTGAATTGTAGGTAGTCTACGGTAACGTAAGTTCAGATAAAATGCACCTTATCATATTAAAACATCAGAAAGAATATTCTTTGTAATTTTTTCCATAAAATAAACGTATTAGATTTTAGAAAAGGTAATGAAAAAAACATATTTTATTTCCCTCGTTTAAAAGCATTCTGTTTTATTTTTTGCAATAGATCGTATTGGGTCTATACTAGTATTAATTCCCAAACAGTGCTATACCTAAATTTAAAATTAATTTTCGAAATTTTTACATTTCATGAAATTTTAGTTTTAAATTCAACTTATTTTACCTGTCCATCAGGATACTTTGATATTTAAGCCCCTTTTTAACCACCAAGAATGGATTGAATTGCCAAAATGTGAAATATTGCTCAAAATCGGGGCCAAAAATCGGTGGATTATCGTTATCTATAAGCGGATTCAAAACTTCTTCGGCTCGAAAGTTGAGCTATTTCTTTCGTGGCTCCAATTCAGCCGTCAGAGCTCATATGGTCAATCAGGCGTTGAAAAAAACACACGTTAACATAAAGAACCGAGGAAACAGTATATTGGGAATATCATTTACAATTCAAATTTTTAAAAATAAATACAAAACGCAGTTTAAGAAATCTCAGCTTATGTCCCCAGTGTAATATTGTTAATCGTTTCTATTATTTTTTCCAATGCCAAATTTTTTAAATACCAATAAAATACGATGGAGCAAAAAAACTTATAAACTCCATTTATCATAGGAAAGTAGACCTAAATACCTTTTATTTAAGATACAAATCATCAAATTGTAACGGGTACTTTTTGAGAAAATTTAGTTTTCACCACTATATAAAGTCGTTTGTATTATTTTTTCCACCACTGTGTATCACTGTAAACATAAACAAACCAAAAATGTTTCTATACAATGTTTACAATTGACAAAACCAGTTTAACTCCTTGCAATTGTTTTTGCAAATACACAATAAAGAAAAGTAGAAAAGAAAGCAAAACAAAAACTTACTTGATTTAAATATGCCGACAAAAACAACAACACAAACTAAAAACTTTAGTAGAGCTCTTTATTATATTGTTGTTGTTGCTATTATTATTATTGTTATTACAAGTACTGTTGTAACAAAACAATTGACTCTCAATGAAGAGACACAAACAATGTAATTGAGACAATATTTATTTTTTTATTGATATTCGCGGGAATAACAGTAAATAAATACTTTTTTTGTATAATCACACACGTATTACATACATATGTACATAAATATGTATGTAAATATAAGTTTACTATTATTTTTTCACTTTCTTGTTGTTGTTATTTAGCTATATGAATGTAATTTTAGCAGTGCACAGAGAAAAAGGGAAAAATTGTAATAATGATAATTCTGCTGTTTGTCTTTGTTGTTTTACACACAAATAGCATTATTTTTTTACACGCTTTTTTCTATTTATAAACTCTTCAATAGGTTTTTTTTTTTTTTTTTTGAGATATTTGCTTTGTAAATTATTTTTATTTATTTAAAAATATATTTTAGGGGAAGAGGTAAAAGAACACTTCAAATATTTTAGTTTTATTTTAATTTTAATATTTTGCTTTTAAGTATAATATTTGTTAAAATTTTTACTTAATTTTTGTTAAAATTTTTATATATTTTTCTAGCTGATTTATTTTTATTTAAATAATTTTTTCACTATAATGCACTAGTTTTGAAATTTTTTTCACAAATTTTCAAATTTTTAATATACATTTTCCTTTTTTATTTTTTTATATTTTTGTTAAAAATAGTTTAGCTAAAGCAGCTGAGTAGAAGCACCGTGTAAAACAAAACAACAGAAACCGAAAATGCGAACACACCGCCGACACCAACACCAGAGATCATTATTGATCGCACATGGTTGGTCTGACGTTAGAAATGTTTTGATTTGTGGTTGGGGAGGGGGGTTTGTTTTTTAAACTTATTTGGAGAGATTTCTTGTTGCTGGCACACAAAACCAACAAAAATATCTGTATGTATATATTTTAATAAAAATCGGAAAATTTATTTTTCGGTCCGTGCGTTTACGGCGCGCTACATTCGACAACTAAAGCAAACATAGAGAAGAACCACGAAACAAACGGTTTTGATATTGATTGAAAAAAAAATTAAAAAAAATATGTATTTATTTTGTATGTTTTTGTCGGCTGTAGGCAGCAGCAGGCAGGCAATCGAAGGTTTTTCTTTTACTCTGTTATAATTTCAAATTTATTTCGAATTTTCTTCTTGTTTCATTTACGTATTTCGAACATTTTCTATTCAACACTAGAGAATTTATTTAAAACAAAAAAAAAAAAAATAATATTTTTCAAGGTGTGGTGAATTTTGTTTAATACCTTTTTAGATTTTAATAATATTTTTAGTTTTTTAAAGACTTAAAAGTAATTTGTAATTGATTAGTAAATTTGTTTAATATATTTTTTTTTTTGTTTTCAATTATAAACACATTTTTTTAAATCAAAACTTTTTTCTTTTCAAAATTCCTGCAATTATCACTGAAAACACAAACTTGTAGTCCAACAGCCCGACATTCTCCTACTAAAACACAAAAAAAAAATAAAATTATCAAAAATTCAACAACAAAAAGTCTCTTGGCTTTGCAACATTTTTTGCTTTGTTTTTGTAATTTTGCTGCTGTTGGTTTTTTACTCAGAAATTTGTTTCTCTGCAGCAACAATTGCTTGCAGCTGCATTTAACATTTTTTTATTTGTTGCTGCTGTTAAAACAGCGACTGCAGCAGCTCAGCTGCTATTATTCAGAATTTGTATTATTATTATTTGTAAACATTTGTCGTTTTGTTTTATTTTTTTATTGTTGAATTTATATTTTTTTGTTTTTATTAAAAAAAAAAAAAAAAAACACAATTGCCTTCAGCCACTAGAAAATGTTGCTTTTGTATTGGTTCAGTTCTTATTTTTGTTTTGTTTTTCTTAATTTAACATAAACAAATGACAAATGTTATTAACAGTATTTTTAACATTTTTGTTTTCTTATTTTTTAGTGAATATTGTGTGTATTTGTTTTATTTTGTTTTAGTAATCTCTAATTTTGTACTCACAAATAGTTCGCCTGCACTTTTTTTTGCAAATTTAATTTTTTTGTAGTTTTAATAGAAATTACAACAACAGCAAATAAAGATTTATGATACCAAATAATGTTTAATATTGGTATCACACACATCGAAGTAAACACAATATAATTAGCATTTGATGTTAGCAACATGTTGCTAGCAACATTAATTTTAATGATACACAAGTACACGTTGAGAATTTTAATATAATTAACTAACTAACTAACTAACTAACTAACTAACTACTAACTAACTAACTAACTAACTAACTAACTAACTAACTAACTAACTAACTAACTACTAACTAACTAACTAACTAACTAACTAACTAACGACTAACTAACTAACTAACTAACTAACTAACTAACTAACTAACTAACTAACTAACTAACTAACTAACTAACTAACTAACTAACTAACTAACTAACTAACTAACTAACTAACTAACTAACTAACTAACTACTAACTAACTAACTACTACTAACTACTAACTAACTAACTAACTAACTAACTAACTAACTAACTAACTAACTAACTAACTACTAACTAACTAACTAACTAATAACTAACTAACTAACTAACTAACTACTAACTAACTAACTAACTAACTACTAACTAACTAACTAACTAACTAACTAACTAACTAACTAACTAACTAACTAACTAACTAACTAACTAACTAACTAACTAACTAACTAACTAACTAACTAACTAACTAACTAACTAACTAACTAACTAACTAACTAACTAACTAACTAACTAACTAACTAACTACTAACTAACTAACTAACTAACTAACTAACTAACTAACTAACTAACTAACTAACTAACTAACTAACTAACTAACTAACTAACTAACTAACTACTACGAACTAACTAACTAACTAACTAACTAACTAACTAACTAACTAACTAACTAACTAACTACTAACTAACTAACTAACTAACTAACTAACTAACTAACTAACTAACTAACTAACTAACTAACTAACTAACTAACTAACTAACTAACTAACTAACTAACTAACTAACTAACTAACTACTAACTAACTAACTAACTAACTAACTAACTAACTAACTAACTAACTAACTAACTAACTAACTAACTAACTAACTAACTAACTAACTAACTAACTAACTAACTAACTAACTAACTAACTAACTAACTAACTAACTAACTAACTAACTAACTAACTAACTAACTAACTAACTAACTAACTACTAACTAACTAACTAACTAACTAACTAACTAACTAACTAACTAACTAACTAACTACTAACTAACTAACTAACTAACTAACTAACTAACTACTAACTAACTAACTAATACTAACTAACTAACTAACTAACTAACTAACTAACTAACTAACTAACTAACTAACTAACTAACTAACTAACTAACTAACTAACTAACTAACTAACTAACTAACTAACTAACTAACTAACTACTAACTAACTAACTAACTAACTAACTAACTAACTAACTAACTAACTAACTAACTAACTAACTAACTAACTAACTAACTAACTAACTAACTAACTAACTAACTAACTAACTAACTAACTAACTAACTAACTAACTAACTAACTAACTAACTAACTAACTAACTAACTAACTAACTAACTAACTAACACTACTAACTAACTAACTAACTAACTAACTAACTAACTAACTAACTAACTAACTAACTAACTAACTAACTAACTAACTAACTAACTAACTAACTAACTAACTAACTAACTAACTACTAACTAACTAACTAACTAACTAACTAACTAACTAACTAACTACTAACTAACTAACTAACTAACTAACTAACTAACTAACTAACTAACTAACTAACTAACTAACTAACTAACTAACTAACTAACTAACTACTAACTAACTAACTAACTAACTAACTAACTAACTAACTAACTAACTACTAACTAACTAACTAACTAACTAACTAACTAACTAACTAACTAACTAACTAACTAACTAACTAACTAACTAACTACTAACTAACTAACTAACTAACTAACTAACTACTAACTAACTAACTAACTACTAACTAACTAACTAACTAACTACTAACACTAACTAACTAACTAACTAACTAACTACTAACTAACTAACTAACTAACTACAACTAACTAACTAACTAACTAACTAACTAACTAACTAACTACTAACTAACTAACTAACTAACTAACTAACTAACTAACTAACTAACTAACTAACTAACTAACTAACTAACTAACTAACTAACCCAATATTGAGCCGTAGTACTAACATTAACTGATGTAAAATGTTAAATATCTTTAGTGAAATATTTTTGCAGTGTTAATGAACGTTAAACAATAGAAAACACATATAGAAATTCAAGTTTATACAAAATTCATTGACTTTTTCAAAATTTGAAACATTTGTTTTGTTATTTATGTTAAAGTCTATCTTATCACACCCACACCCATTTATCGATTAGTGGGTGTTTATAAATTAGATAAATCATATTTTGTTTTCCTTTTAAAATATTCAAATTCATTAACCTCTGAGGAGATGCAAAAGACACACTAAGTTAATTCATACATTTAAGCATTCGTTCACCTACAACACTTCCACACACATTAAATTAAATAAAATTATTGAGTTTCTTTAAAAGGCCATAAAAAATTAACATTCCAGTTAATGAATTCGAATAAATCAAAATTGTCTACATTAAAATGCATTTTCCACACTGACAACTTGAACTATAAACAAATGATTAACACTTTTTTGTTTAAACGTAAAAAAAACAATACAAAGATACACAGATACGTTGCTATAGATACACTCATACATTACGATTTAAATGAATGTTTAAATAATTTTATGGTTAAAAAATCCATAAACAAGAAATTCAAGAAACTAAACAATTGTATTTCAAAAAAATAAAAATGGAAAAATAATAATAAAAAATGCAAGTGCATATTTATGTTTAAAACAGATGGCCGAAAACAACAGTAAAGAACACAAATTATAGATTTTAGTGGGGCACGTGGTAGCAAAGAATATCATCATCATCAACATCATCGTAATAATCACAAAAGCAGTGAATGGATTAGCACTGTCTATCTATGGTTTACATGTTCTAAAATGAAAACTATACAAATTAAGAAACGTTGAGTGCTTGTTTTATTTCTTCTCGTTCGTATCATTTAAATGAATATCGACTAAAAAAAAGAAAACGCTAAAACAATCCAATAATGCCTTAAATGAAAAACCTCAATAACCCCTTCCGAAAGATATGAAATGAAAAGAAATGTACACTTATGTATTTGTATTTCAACAATATGAATGGAAAAGAAAATGTTAAAATGTTAAATAGTTATTTGGAAAAAACACTTACTTCAAAGAAAATAAAGAAATTTAAATCCTAAATCTCTATGGAAAAATTCATAATTTTCATTCTTTTAACCATTATGGGGGAAACACAATTTTGAAGGTAACGCAATAAAATTTGCTATGTGAAAATCCCTTACATGATGAACAAAATAAGGCGTTGACCCAGGAAAATTTGTTGAAAAAATTAGGAACTCTTTTTGGTTTTGGGTGATGATGATGATAGATGATAGATAGATAATAGATATATAGAATAGATAGATAGATAGATAGATAGCATAGATAGCTAGATAGATCTAGATCGATAGTCGATCGATCGCTCGCTGGATAGATCTCTATCGCTCGCTCGCTCGCTCGCCTCGCTCGCTAGCTCGCTCTCTCGCTCGCTCGATCGCTCTAGCTCGCTCGCTAGCTCGCTCGCTCGCTCGCTCGCTCGCTCGCTCGCTCTCTCGCTCGCTCGTCGCTCGCTCGCTCGCTCGCTCGCTCGCTCGCTCTCTCGCTCTCTCGCTCGCTCGCTCGCTCGCTCGCTCGCTCCTCGCTCGCTCGCTCGCTCGCTCGCTCGCTCGCTCGCTCGCTCGCTCGCTCGCTCGCTCGCTCGCTCGCTCGCTCTCGCTCGCTCGCTCTCGCTGCTCGCTCGCTCGCTCGCTCGCTCGCTCGCTCGCTCGCTCGCTCGCTCGCTCGCTCGCTCGCTCGCTCGCTGCTCTCGCTCGCTCGCTCGCTCGCTCGCTCGCTCGCTCGCTCGCTCGCTCGCTCGCTCGCTCGCTCGCTCGCTCGCTCGCTCGCTCGCTCGCTCCTCGCTCGCTCGCTCGCTCGCTCGCTCGCTCTCTCGCTCGCTCGCTCGCTCGCTCGCTCGCTCGCTCGCTCGCTCGCTCGCTCGCTCGCTCGCTCGCTCGCTCGCTCGCTCGCTCGCTCGATAGATAGATAGATAGATAGATAGATAGATAGATAGATAGATAGATAGATAGATAGAAGATAGATTAGATCGATAGATAGAAGACCGTCCGCTTTTAAATGAACAAATGTAAGAATTAAACTGATAGCTTAGGATGAGACTAACTTATGGTCCAATTCTTAAGTGTTAGACGATTCAATCAG